TTTTTTTTTTTTTTTTTTGGTACTGGGGATTGAACTTGGGTCCTTGCGCTTTCAAGGCAGGCAGAGGCACCACTGAGCTAACCCCCTGGCCCTAGTTTGATTTTTGTCATTATTTTCAGGGAGAATAGTACACTCAGAGTCTCCCGGAATTCTTTCTGTCTCTGAAGTAGTGTACACACTTAGTGCCTTCTGAGTCCTGTTTACTGTGTAGTAATTAATCGCTGTTGCTTGCTGAGTCCTTCGTAGGATGTCTGCTTTGTGTGCTGTGCCCTGCACCAGTGTTTTACAGCCTCTGGAAGGTGCTTCTCTGTTTTTTATTTTGGGGATTGAACCTAGGTCCTTTGCACTGAGCTACATTCTCAGCCCTTTATTTTTGTATTTTGCGATAGGGTCTTGTTAATCTTCCAGAGTGCTGAGACTACAGGTGTGTACCACCAAGCCGGGCTGGGTTCTCTGCTCCGTCTGTAACTGTTGGTGACAGGGTGTCTCAGAACTGGTTGGTTCTGAGATTTTACCACTTAAACAGGATGCATGTAAGAGCTACAGAAGGGCCTACACCCGTGATGCTCACCTGTGGGAAGTGGTTGTTTCATCTTTGTAAAGAGGAAAGCGGGTGACAGCAGCAAATGCCTCACAGATAGCGAGAAATTTCCCAAGGTGCCAGTGCTGAGTTACTCAGCCTGTTCCGTCCTTTGCTTCAGCCTGACCCAGCGTGGGATCACCCTTGGTTTCTCATAGGTGCTGGAAAGTCTTTGGTGGGTGTGACTGCTGCGTGCACTGTCAGAAAACGCTGTCTTGTGCTGGGCAACTCAGCTGTGTCTGTGGAGCAGTGGAAAGCCCAGTTCAAGATGTGGTCCACCATCGATGACAGCCAGATCTGCCGCTTCACCTCGGACGCCAAGGACAAGCCCATAGGCTGCTCCATTGCAATTAGCACTTACTCCATGCTGGGCCACACCACCAAAAGATCCTGGGAGGCGGAGCGAGTCATGGAGTGGCTCAAAACCCAGGAGTGGGGCCTCATGATCCTCGACGAAGTACACACCATTCCAGGTGAGCTGGCCGACGCTGAGCTGAAAATTGATTTCCACTTGTTGGGCTGGGGGCGGAACCGCTGTGCTGTCCCCTCACCTGGCTGGAGATGCTCGTGGGTAATACTTCTTTCTTAGCGCGTGAGGGGCGGGATTGGGCGGGCCGCAGGTGTGCACACTTACACCTGAGGCAGGGGTTTGGAGGGATCGTGTAGATCACGACTCCTGTCTGTCTCCGTTGCCGTTCAGCTTACCCTAACCCCTTTCATGCTTCTCCAAAGCTGGACTGGAACCACTGCGTTACTCTTGAGATAGTATCGCGTTTCTTTTGAAGGCCGATGTGTTGGTCCATAAACAGTATGTATGAGGTTTGGTCAAAGTACATAGTGAAGGTTTAAATTAAAAAATATTATTACAGTGACAGGCACGTTGCCGTTGATCCCCCGCCAAGTGGTGACCACCCTTACTCCATCGTTCTTGCTTCTTTCTGAAGCAGTCGTGGAGTCCTCTTTCGCGAGTGTCTCTGTGGGGTTTTTGGTGAATACTGCTGCTGAGTGCCATCCAGTGGAAAGGCAGACTCCAAACACCATTACAGTGTGCCTCCTTCATCCGCCTGCTCACCCAGTCTGGCACTGTGTGACTTCTGGCTCTTTCCCAAAGTCAGAATGACCACGAAATGTTCGTAAGTGTTCTGAATCTGTGTGGGACTTCGAAGTGGCCATGTCAGCACAACTAAAAGCACAAGAGAGGACTCCCAGCACCGCTTCAGAGGGTTGAGCAGGGGGACAGTGTGTTTGAAATGGGAGCGAGTATTTGGAGGGGTATTAATGACTTTGTGTTCTTTACTGTAATTGAAAACAAAACTTAAGATTTTACCACATTTTTGATCGTTCCCTGTACTAGAAGCCTTCTTACTTTCCAGGCATAGGTAGACTTTTTTTTTTTAATTGGAAACAGCTTTATTGACCTAATTTGTGTGCCATCAAGCCACCCACTATGTCTACGCAGCACGGTGGGTTTCAGCCGTTTGTGGGGTGGTGCACCAGTCTCTGTGACCCAGTTTTAGAGCGTCTTCTTATACTTATAGTCCCTGTTTTCATCGTTAGCTGCAGGCAGCCTCTGAACTTCTTTCTGCCTCTACAGATTTGCTTTTTCTGGAAATTTTCATACGAATAGCATCATGCAGTATGTATTTTCTTACGTCTGGCTGTCTTCTCTTTGTAAAGTGGTTTACTCATTGTCACAGCACCCACCAGTAGTTTGTTCTGTTTCTCACTGCATAGTCGTCTGAGTGAATTTTTCTTTTCCTTTTTTTTTTTTTTTTATTTTTTGGAGACAGAGTTTCACTCTGTTGCCCAGGCTGGCCTTAAATCCCTGGGCTTAAGTGCTCCTCCTGCCTTTGTCTCCCCAGTGCCTAGGACTTAGAGACACAGGTAGTCACCATGCCTGACTATGCAGACTTTTTTTGCTACTGGGGTTCAAACTTGGGTCGTTGCACTCACAAGGCAGGCAGCGGAACCACTGATCTAAATCTCTGGCCCCCAGACCTTGTTTTTGTTTAACATTCAGAATTTTTTTGTGAGTACACATTTGCAGTACAAAACAATTCCTTGTATGGAGTTGCTACGTGCATATAACACATCTGAATCCCTTTTTAGCCTCCTTTCCCTCCTCTCTCTCTAGATCCCCAGCCCATTTAAGAAAGATCTAGCTCCTCCTTCCTATTATCTATTATTTTGCTCTTTATTTATAGTTTGGGTCTCTCATGTAAGAGGAACTATGTAATGTTTAAGCTTGTGCTTCTGACTTACTTCACTTACATTAAATCTAAAGTAGAGATTACATTAAGTGAAATAAAAGGTGAGGCATTTTTACATAGAGCATTCAGAACGTTTTCATGGCCCTGGCACTGGTTGAAGCTCTCCAGTGAGAGTCACAGTCCAGGTAGGGATTGGGTGTCTTCCAAGTAGGAGCAGTAGGGCACAGGCCTTGTCTTGGGAAAGCACGTGGTCCATTCAGATAACGTACAGTGGCCGAGCGCAGGGAGAGCAGGCAAGGCTGGGGCAGAAGGACCGGTCAGGGCAGATGTGGTGGCTCTTTGTAGGCCATGAGAGGGACTCCGGCTTCCACTCTAAATGGGAGGAGCCGTCTGGGGTGGAGCAGAGGCTAACCTGAGCTTGCACATCTGGCTGCTGTGCTGTGAACAGACGGGAGGAAGCCCCAAGGGAACAGTGAGATGAGCTTGGTGGGTTCCAGCAGGAGACTTGACCTCGTGAGAGGGCAGTGAGGCTGAAGGCAGCCCCACTCCGGCTAAACTGTGATGGTCACGTGTGGGATGAGGGAGAGGAGGAAGAGCCCAGGGTGACACTGAGGGAGGATGGGGAGGGTGTTCATGAAAGCGGGGAAAGTTGGGGAAGCAGTAGGTCACACCTACGATTTTGGGCATGGTGATTTGAGCAGCTGCACAGTTAGGCAGGGACCGAAGTGTTAGGAAATGGGCAAGAGAAGCGGCCAGGCAGTTCACCCAAATAAGCACTTGAAGAGTTGCCCGGCTCCGCGTGGTGCTCCAGCATTTGTGACTGTGAATACTCCCATTGTTCCCCAGCCAAGATGTTCCGACGCGTGCTCACCATCGTGCAGGCCCACTGCAAGCTGGGTTTGACTGCGACCCTTGTCCGGGAAGATGACAAAATTGTCGACTTAAATTTTTTGATTGGGCCCAAGCTCTACGAAGCCAACTGGATGGAGTTGCAGAACAACGGCTACATTGCGAAAGTCCAGTGTGCTGAGGTAGCTGGGCCTGGCTGGGTGGGCATCTGAGAGAGGGCTCCTTCCACGGGCAGGGGCAGCCGTTGGTCGAGCCCCAGGCTTGCCTACCACCACCTCCTGCAGGGCGCTTACTGACCCTGGGGAGCAGTGTTACCCCGCTTCACAGATGGGTGGTGAGTACAAGCAGAGCCTTTGTCAGGATGCTGGTGCAGAAGGCTACGTCTTCGCGTCAGTGAGCTCCTGGGGGGTTCTGCCACTCATCCCAGGCGCTGCTGCGTGGATGACCACCGAGGCCACTCCTGCCGTCCCAGCCCCAGAAGGTCGATTGTGGACGTGATCACTTTCTCTCTTAAGGAATCCCTTTGCCCAATACGATTCTGTAGTGTGTACCTACATAGATGGATATTAAAAATCCTTGTGTAAAGGAAGGTCTCAGAACAAACAACTGACAAAGTCCTTTCTAACACTGAAAGGACTGTCACTCAGTGTGAGAGAGTCGGGTGGCCTTTGTCCTGACAGTGCGAGAAGAGGCTGCTGGTACTGGTGAGTGTGAGGAGCCTGTTCAGACTTAGCAGTAATGAGAAAGTCGTCCCACTTTAGCTGTGTGTGTCGAACAGTGGCATGGCCGGGACCTTTGAGGCCTTCTCTTCCTCTCCACCTTGTCTTGTTGGTGTCGCTGCCATCACGGAACCTGGGTTTGTCATTCTCTTTGTTATTTCACCATCTACGTGTGTTTGTCTGTTCTTTCTAAATAAACAATCATGTAAGCAGAACGAGGTTATATAAGTTCCTTTGCAATTTTTGTATTTTCTCAGTGTTCCTTGTGTGATTTCCTTAATGTTGGGGGGCTGTAGTTCATTCCTTCGAATCGCTGTGCACTATTCCGTGGCACAGATGTGCCACAGCTTAACCAGCATGGGGTGCTACACGGTGATAAGGCAACAGCCTTTTCTGACGTGGAAGACATTTGGATTGCCAGGTTGCTTTCTTAACAGCTTTGTTGGGGGTTGGTTTACACACCGGTGGTATCCATCCACTGTACGTTTACAGTCTCGTAATTTTAGGGCCGCTATCCCTACAATCCACTTTTCAAGCATCTGACACCACAGAGTTGGTTGCATTGTGCCTGAGTTTCCTTCTGCTCCGGCGGCAGCACCAGGTGCGGGCCGTAGCATAGAGATGCCCTCAGGAGGATTCTGCTACTCCAGCTGTTGCCTGTGTGACCAGAGCTCTTTGAGTGTGTCTTTGCTTTCTGGCATAGTGAGATATCTCAGCCTTATCTCATACCTACTCTTCTTTGGGCTTGAATTTTGCTGTTTCTCCTGGAGAACTGGGTCCTTTCAGTAGTGAAAACCAACAACTGGGTGCTAGGTGTATTCAGGACTGTCACTGCTAGGCCTGCTGTTGGGCAGAGCTAGGAAATGTGTGTGCACATGAGCGTAGTTGGGCACACATCTGTGTCTTACTTGCCTGGAATATCAAAAACTACAAGTTTATGGAGACATGGGCAATATAATCCAACACCACAATTTTTTTCTAACTTTTCCTCTTTCCATATTTGTAATTCCTTTTTCAGACAATAAGAAATTTATTTACAATATGCTTAGGCTCTGTTATATATATATATACATAGATGCTTCTCACATGGGAAAGGGATCAAGGGATGGAGGGAGCGGATGCAAAAAGGAATTAAGATGTGCTATGTACACGTGCCAACTCCACAAGGGGATGTAAACATAATTACTGTAACAGGGACTAAAAATAAGAATTAAACAACTATTGACTGCCTGAAAATTAAAAAAAGAACAAATATCAGATTGTCTCCTGTTTCCTTATCCTAATAAGCCTGAAATTGAAAAGATTGTTTTGTTTTTTACCAGCCTCAGGCTCACCAGTCATGGAATTTTGTGGGTAAAAATTGGTGTTGAGGGGACAGGGATGAATGAAAGCCGTTGACCCTACAGTGCCACGAAGTGAGTAGCTCGGCAGCTCCGCAGCACTCTTAGCCCCGGTGTTTTTACCGGAAGTGTTCCTGGTCCTTCAGGGCACTGGGCGGGGACAGGAGGGGCAGTTCTCAGCCGCAGTGCTGCCTTCTGTGCCGGGGCTGTGGTCTGAGTGGGGAGATTGCAGGCGCCACAGGTCGAAAATCTGGTTTCCCTTACTTGTAGCTGGAGTAAAAATAATTCCCTTGGTATGATTACGTTTAAAAGTTTTTTGAGATTTTGTTTTAGGTTTTTGAGGCAGGGTTTTGTTGTGTAGTTCAGGCGGCCTTGAACTCACTGTGTAGCCCACGCTGGACTCAGATGTGAGGCGATCCTTCTTCCTCGGCGTCCTGATTGCTTGGATTACAGATGTGTGCCACCACTTCTGGCCAGAAATTGTCAAGTGATTAACATATGAGAATGTCCTTGCTGAATGTGAGGAATTAGATTTGGCTTAGTTTTGTACATGTGTGTATTTACAGTTACATACTAGTTTATTCTTAACTGCAGTAGATCCATTTTAAGAGCCCCAGTGGGTGCCAGAAACCCAATATAGTACCAGCTCCTGTGATTTAATGCTTTTCCATTTTATTATTATTATTATTTATTTTTGGTACCGGGGATCGAACTCAGGTCCTTGCGCTTGCAAGGCAGGCCACTGAACTGCTGAGCTAAATCCCCCGCCCTAATGCTTTTCCATTTTATTATTATTATTATTTATTTTTGGTACCGGGGATCGAACTCAGGTCCTTGCGCTTGCAAGGCAGGCCACTGAACTGCTGAGCTAAATCCCCCGCCCTAATGCTTTTCCATTTTAACTAAGCACTCGCCATGCATATGGCTGCACCTTTTGCAGTGTGAGGTAGGAAAGAAAAACTAGTGTGAATTTTTTTCCTTCACATTTTCACAGATAGGTTTGTACTTACTGGAGATCTTAGCGACCTTAGCATGCAATTTTGATTCTTTTCTGTTAGGTTGAGAACTTACAGCATTGCTGCTCTTGTGCGTGGGGCCATGGTTAAGTAAAACAAGGGCGGCTTGAGCAGATGCACTGCAGACCGGGACAGTGGATCTTAAAACTGCGATGGCTCCGAATGCTGGGCACATGGGTTGTTACGCGGGGTAGATGTGCCAGACGGGGCGGTGCTTCACTTTCTGGGCAGAATAACATGGTTCTACACACAGTTCGTCATGCTGCTGAGAACAGAGTGCAAGTTAAAATGTGTCACTTGTTTTATTTCTGGAATTTTCTGTGTAATATTTGCAGACCTTTGTTGACTGTAGATGCCTGAAAGCACAGATAAAGGGGATCAGTGTGTATTAAGATGTGATTCATATACCATTGGCTTTGTTTTGAGATATTTTGAAGCTAATTCTACTAGATGAAAGTGCTTCCGAAGTTTCCAAGTGATGTTTAAACTTGCAAATGGCCCTATTCTTACTGCTTCCCAGGTTTGGTGCCCAATGTCACCCGAGTTTTACCGAGAGTATGTGGCAATCAAAACCAAGAAACGAATCTTGCTGTATACCATGAACCCCAACAAGTTCCGAGCTTGTCAGTTTCTGATCAAGTTTCACGAAAGAAGGAATGACAAGATTATTGTCTTTGCTGACAACGTGTTTGCCTTGAAGGAATACGCTATTCGGCTGAACAAGTAAGAGTTAAAACTTTAGAGTTGCTCTAGGCCAATTGGCTCCTCATTTGAGAATGAAGGTATCCATTTCTTTCTTGAAGTGCTTAGGAACGTCTTGGGACCTAAGGGTTTGGGTCTCAGGAACTCGGCAAGACAGAGAAGCAGGTGGTCAGGCTCATAGGTCGGAGCGTGTGGACGTGGGGAGGCTGGTCCCATGAACCAGAGAGCAAGGGGCCGTGCTGAGCTGGGTGGGGCATGGCCTCAGATCTGGGCTCGAAAGGTGGGGAGGAGGCGGCACCTGCGGTTTCCGGCTGAAGGAGCACTGAGGGCAGAGTGGAGCCCAGATGTTGTGGCCCAGGGACTGGGAAGGCAAGATGGGCTGGGCCAGCATCCAGGTATGGGTCAGCATCTGGGTAGAGCTGCTCCGGAGCCACTCACCCGGCACCCTGTGGTCCCCAGCCCCATCCTGTGCTTGAAACCTGGCTGTGGTAAACCGCCTGCTGAGTGTGTGAGAGGAGGCCTGTGGCAGAGCCTCAGTGCCGTGAGTGTTACAGCGCACAGGGCCTTCTGTGCACACAGGTCTTAATTCTTCCTGTAGAAACGGACAGGGAAAGAAGCTTCCAATGCTGAGCACTGAGCTGCATCTGCAGGCCTTTTTATTTTTCATTTTTTTGAGATAAGATCTTGCTAGGTCACCAGGTTGCCTAGGAAAGGCTTGGTCTTGGAGTCGTTTGCATTAGCTTCCCCAGTGCTAGGATTGCAGGTGTGTGCCCCATTCCTGGCCTAATCACTGTTCTTGTTGCACAGGTACAATGTCTTCTCTTTCATCGTCTGTGGAAGCTTTTTTTTTTTTCTTTTTATTTCATTGTTTCTTTTAATTCATTTCCTAGAATGCCATAATGACAGTGTTACAAAAATATTAATTACATGACATCATCAAAACCGTGAAGTTTATATTTCTAATTTAACTATGTTGAAAAAAAAATTTTTTTTTTTTTAATTTTATTGAGTTTATTGGTACATTTTAGGGATACGGTACAGTTACATTCATTGTTGGGATCATGTACCTTTACATGGCAAGTCTTGATTCTCATTTTTTCCCCTTACCTCTGCCCTCCCTTCACCCCCTCCTCCCCTCCCCATCTACAAACACTTTATTTTCATCTTTTCATTCTCTCACATTTTTTCTTTTCCCTTTTTGTTTCCTTCAGTTGCCTACAATCTTTTCTGCAAATATTTTTGGTTTGATTGTTTTTGTGCCTGTCTTTGAAATCCTGAGTGTTAGTAATCTGCGGCTGCACTTTTTTTTTTCTTTCTTTCTTTTTTTTTTTTTTTTGAGACAGGGCCTTGTTATGTGGTTCAGGCTGGCCTTGAACTTATTATGTAGCCCAGCTTGGCCTTGAAGAACTAGCAATGGTCCTCCTGCCTCAGCCTCCTGAGTGCTGGGATCGTAGGTGTGCACCACCACACCCAGCTTGGCAATTACATTTCTGAGAGTTGGCCACTAAACAGCAGACAGGCTTTTCTGTATCACCAAGCAGGCTTGCCGACTGTGTGCCTGCTTGTAGAGTGAATAGCACTTGGAGTTCATTGAGAAATTGTCAGGTGCCAGTATCTATAGGTCTTTTCCAGCCTCCTGGGCACAGCACGTGGGAGGGAGGAAAAGAGGTTGTACAGCTCAGCCTTGAGGATGCACCGCTCCACCATGTTGCAAGTTTCCCCATGACCCTCAGCTCTGCTGACATCCTTGGCGCTGCCCTTCCTAGTTCAGATCTGGAACAGAATCCTCCAGCTTCCTGTCAGGTGGGAAGAGCCGGGCACGCTGTGGGCTGGGGTCTCTGCTCCTCACACACACTCCCAGGCCTGCTGTCTGCCACCCGCGCCGGCCACCTGCCCCTGGGCTCTAGTTGTTAAAACCCTTCTGTGTCCTGCACAGAGTACTGACACATTGGCTCAGAAAATTGTTCTGTATTGGCTTTCCCTCTGCCAACTCAGGCTGCTGCCTTTGTGTAACTGTTAGCTTAGTTACTGCACCTTCATCCATCAGCTTTTCAGCTTCTGAAACGTTATCTGTTGTGCTCATCTTCTGTTACTTCCGCTTTCTCTCTCTCTCTCTCTCAACTTCTGTTCTCTTTGTGGGTTTGTGTCCTTTTAGTCCTTTGCTGCCATTCAGTGTAGATTTAAGTGAGGCAACAAGAGGGTTGTACATATTCGCCGTCATGTTTAACAGCTGTCTCCCCGCCTTCTCTCCCCTTCCCTCTGCGGCGCTCCGTCCACCTTCTCCCCACACCCACATTGGAAATACCTGGGGCTTGCTCTGGCTGCAGCCTCCTGCGCGTCTGCTCCTGGGGCTGTTGATTTGCCTGGCACTGTCAGTGCCGAGCCAGCTTGACACAGGGAATGGGCAGCCCACTGTGGCTGTCTCGTGTGTAATAGAATTGTAGTTACAACTTTTATTAATAATCTTTTCTTTTTGTACCTGTCCTTTAAATGTAGACAGTGTTTTATTTTTATTTCTGTTTGAAGTGATTGTGTGGATCCTAGGCCTTGCCTCTTAACTTGTAATGGATGCCCTGTGCTGGGAGAAGTCTGTGAGCTTCCTCCCAGCCTTATAAGAAACAGACAGCTGTCATTGACGTGCCCTGCAGGAGAGACCAGTAGGATTATGAGTAGTGTGGAGTAGCACATGGACGATGACAGGATCCTATGGGTGGTGCCCCGGACACTCCATGCTGGGCTGTCTGGAGGCCATCAACCTGGGTGTAGAGCTGCCCTAGGCCCTGCCTGCCCGCAGAAGAGGGGTCGCACTCTCAGGCACAGATGTGACCATCTTGTAGCACAGAACTGTGTGTTCTGAGCCCGTACTGGACACGGTTATGGGTGCTGCTGGGCCTGGGGACAGCCGAATTTGGGCTTTACCCTTTCAGGGTTTTGATCCTCTGTTTCCTGTGTATAAATTGAGGAACCTGAGACCTGCCTTTTACAGTTCTGAGGAACATTGGCAGGATGGATTTTTTTTTTTTTTTTTTTTTTTTTTT